AACTTCTGTCTTGTGTGTGTGTATGTATGTGTGTGTATATATGTATGTAACAGTAATCGTATTCAATACATAATATTGGTGAGAAACATTTTAGACAGTTAAAGGTTCAAAACATGTTCCTGTAGTACCATGATAAAATGAACCATTTCTCATTTTTGGGGTTTTTTTGGAGGTTTTAGACCTCCTGTTGTAGAAGCATACTTCAAAACTTTCAAAGGGTATTCTGTGCAGGATCATTGGGGAAAACTATGCTTTTTGAGCCTTACCTGAGGGAAAGCTACTTAAGAAAGATAACGTGGAACAGCAAAGGATGACTGGCAAGGAGAAATGGGTAAATTGAGAAAAAGCAGTAGGTGGAGTGTAGTATGACAAGTAGAGCCTTAAGTGTGGTTGAGAGACTTACTTATAGAACTATTAGAAAGAAAAGCTCAGCCCAGTGAGACTTAAGAGGAAAATGAAGTGTTCTAAGCACTCTGTGGAAAGGGGTGTCCAGTATGAGGTTGGGAAGCGATGGGTGAAATGGTTGTAAACTCATCTTACTGCTGTAGATTGCTATTCAACTTCCTGGTATGAGTTACTGTCTAAATTTCCTTTTGGTTCAGGACAATATTCACTTGTGAATTATTCTGTTTTCTGATTGTGCCACGATAGGGAAAACAGTGTAAATAACCAAGTAAGGGAAATACATTATTCTGCACACCATGGATTTCTAGCCTGTCTTGTGAGCTGAGTCAAATATTACTAGAAATTGGGCCCTTAAGGATGGTTGTGTTTTGGTAGGTACCCACCTGCTCTTAATTAAGCAGCATACGGCATGCCAGTCTTACAGCTTTGCTCAGTATAAACTACGGTGGTAAGAAGTCTTGATGAGGCTTTTAGAAAGGCTCTACCTGAGATTAAATAGTGAGTTCTGGCTAGAAGGAAGAGGTAAGATTCTTGCTTTGATCTATTGCTTGTACATGTTATTTTTAGTACAGCTAGAGAAGATAAAGTATTGAGGAATTAGACTTTAATCAGAAATGTTACTTTCACTTCCTTTTAAAATTAGTATTTGGCCACAGTCATTCCACAACAAAAGTGATTAGATTGTGTTTTCCACAGTAGTACAGGTAGAAGATATTCTAGCTCTTCTTAGTGGGTGCTGTGATAATCGCATCTGAGTTATTAACTTGGATATTTAGCAGGCAATTTTGGATGTATTTCTGTATGTAGTCATAAATCCTGAAACTAGTTAATTTCTTTAGTGGACTGAAACGATCCCTTATTTTCCTTATATCAGTGGTGACTTAAAGATGATAAAAGAATTTGGTTTATGACTGAAGTAGAATTCTTACCTGTCTCTCTTGTTTTTCTCTGAGGAAAAGAGAATATTTTGATTAAAGATGCTGTTTTAGAATTAAAATATGAATAAAGAATAATGCTGCTAGGGTCATGGAGTAGCACTAAGTTTTTACCTGCATAGTTAGAGATTCAAAGATTGAAACCTGAGTAATTGAGTGGGCACAGAACTTCTTTCTGGTGAGTCTAATCTTCTTCTGGCTTGAGATTACGTTATGGCAATAAAATAAGAGTAAAGGAAATTCTTGAGAAATGATTGATGTAGGCTAAAGAGGAGACTAATATAAGTTGGGATCTAGAAAAGTTTTCAGCGCCATAGCAGTATATCACATCAGAATATATTAATAGCTTTTGGAAAACTTACATCATAAAAATCTTGATAATAATTTGAAAAATTGTTTTGAAGCATAAGATCTCTGAGAAATTATTAAAAATAAATGGAGGAGGGGATAGAACTGCATAAGCAATAACTGAGACAAGCTGAAATATAGAGGAAATCAAAGCAGGTGAAGGAAACCTGGGAAAATTTCACTGATACCCTTTCTATTATTGACTGAGCAATAAAGCAGTTTGTTTTCTGTCTTGAGGTAGCATATTTTCCTATGGCTGGTTGGCTATGCAAATGAACTAAATTAATTGGTGTGGCTAAGATCTTAATACTTGCTTTTCTTATTTCTGTTTCATAAAGCAGAAACTTAAAAAAATTGTAAGTGGTGAAAAGCAGGCATTTTGATCTGCTAAGGAACAATTTTTAGCCTTGCCTATAAGCTATAAAATCCTGTTAGAGGTTCGCTATTAATCCAGATGGATTTGGGCTCTTGTCCTGTAATTTGATAGTAAATCATTTAAGGTAAAGTTACAAGTTTTTCAGTAAGAGAGATAAATCACAGCTTCTCTCTTGAGATTATATCAATGTATTAGTCAAAGCATGGTAATGGTGGTGAATCAATTATGAAGGGGAAAATTAACAGCACTGTCGTGTACTATGTGACTATGCATTAGTGAAGTAAAATAGAAAGTTTTTAAGAACTGTGAATTCCAGTATATTTGAAGTCTTCTTTATAATTCATATTGGCAGGACACATTAAGTTAAAAATAGTAAAACTGCTGACAAATGAAAAGATATGGTATTACACCATATGATATTTTAAAGGGGTGCTTTTCATATTTCTATTACGAAGTTAACATCACTCTTAATACTAAGAGTGATTAATTATCTGAATTGAGTAGTAGCTATCTCATGAGAATGTACAATATTTATGAACTTACAAAACGCCTTAATTTTGTTGTGGTCTTTCACATTAAAAATCCCTTGAGATTCGTTTTAAGAAAGGATTTAACTAACAAACTTATTTGGGCATAGAGGGCTGTAGCATTAAAATATGCTCTAGCAATAGCATGAAGATCAGAGATGTATTTTTTTCTTTTCTGCTTCACATGCAATACTTCCCGTGAAGCATGATCAGAAAAAGAAATATCTCAGGAGTTCTAATTGCTGATCCTTCTGTGAAAGACATATGGTTATGCGGTTTTTCTGAAAAGTGCTGTTTTCAACTCTCACATAGAGAAATAATCAGAAATTGTCGTTCAGAAAATAGCATTTTAATGTGTGGTAGTAGTTCTCTATGTTTGGGAGAACAGGTCAACGCACACAGATAGGAATGTTGAACATCTATAATGAAATGTGATGCAGTTGTGTGTCTTTAAAAATTGAAGATGTGGCATACATTTTGATAATGGAATAATGGAGACTCCCTACCCCAACTATCATCTCTGTTCAAGACCATTAGGATTCAGAATATTAAGAGCAGAGCAACTGGGCGTAACAGCCTACGTTCAACATCTGTCATGCTGGAGTCCATTAGTGTTCAATTGCATCCTATTGTTTTTGGATTATTCAACCTCATTTCATTGTCATTGCTTCTGCTAGGGATTAATCAGCTGTTTACAACTACACCAAGTTTTGGAGTCATAGTGAAAACAATTGAGCTATAGTTCTAAATAAATATACAGTATTCAGTCCGTAATGAAAAAGTTACTAATTTATGAATGCTGGTAACAATTTAATTAAGTTTGAAATCAATACAGATAATAAATCATTGTGTGGCAGGGTTTTTTTAACCTTTTGTGTATATCATAAAATGATCGTATGTCATCTCCTTGTAAGTTTATTTAGATAATGCTTTTAATAATACAAGTACAGTAAAACAAAGATGTTTTGATTATGGAGTGTGGGTGTATGAACAGTGGCTTCTCTATCATTACAATTGGTAACAGAAATGATTCCTTACTGCCAGCATGCAGATTTATTTTTTTCACATCCTCTTTTATTGTCTTTACCTATTTAGGGTTATTACTAAAAAGACGCATTTAAAAAAAAAAAATCACATAAAATACACACGTATACTTTAATATGTTGTATTAAAGAGGGCACTTTTCAGACTATTCATATACTTACATCTTTTTGTGTATGTGTATATCGTAACCTATCTAAATATTTTTACAATCAATACTAGATAAATCCATAGCTACGTTTTAACTGTTTAAATATACTTGAAGGTATTTTAATGCCATTGGATTCGCTGACATGCAAATACGTAATCCCCATTTTTCTCAAGATACTACTGTCTCTGCAATGTTGTGTACTTTCTGCAATATTAAAACTGTGAGTCCTGAAGGGTTTCTTTGAGTCTCCTTATTTTAGTACTGTATAGTGCAAACCAGTAGTATTCTCATCCATGTACTGTTAAGCTAATTCTCCCGTGTTTCATTAGAACAGTTATTTCTTCTACCCTTAATACTATCTGACCAGAATTTTCACCTTTTAATGTACAAATACTACAATGCACAGAGATTTTTTTTTTTTCCCCTGAGTTGCAACAGATTATCCATTTAAAGGATCTTTTGCTTAACTGCCCAGAGTCTTGTGGGGCCAGCCAGACACTACTCCAGATGGCAAGTTGTTAGGGCTGGACAGAATGGCTTTGGAAGACTTCTCAACAGATGAAGGCTGTAATGTTCGGATTTTACTGGTTTGTTTTTTTTTTTTTCCCCCCGTAGTTCCCAGGGTGGGAAGGTACTGGGATGGAAGCAGAATGCCGCCCGCCCACCTGCTACCACCTGTTTAGCTTTTGCAGTTTCTATAAAGCCTCATCTTGTCTGTAAGACACAATCATTGCTTGCCGGCAGGAGTCAAGAAGGGAGAGATTTTTGTTCTGAAGTTATGTCTTCAGCTCGTAACAGCTTTTCATTTCAAAATACTCTCCTAAACTGAATCAGAACTTCTTTCTTTTGAAATGGTCATTTGGAAATGATGTGGTTTTAACCCATTAAGATCCTTTTTGAATTAAAGGGATCATTTTCTTCAGTAACATGCATTTTGAGAATGGAGTTTTCTATCTCTCTGAGTTTAAAGAAATTAAAAGAATGAAAGCATGAGACATTAAAACCTCTTTATTCTTTCTTTAAACAATAAGAAGCAATTTACAGATATTTCCAGAAGAACCAGAAGACCTTTTGTTTTATTATTTTATTTTTTTAGATGCTAAGAAAAATAACCCACCTCTGATATCTGGAAACAGATTCAAGAGGTACGCGGGCTACTCACATGAGTGCTTTCCATACCACTTTTGAGATACCTAATTTTTAAAAAGTAATCTTTTTGTGTGTGAAACCGAAGCTGCATCAAATATGAAAACCTGTAAATCCAGTCATTTGGATTCAGGTGTAGAATCAGACATCCAGTGCAGAAGCGGACCAGGCTGTGTTGTGAAGTGCAGTTCGGAAAGGATGGAGAATGCTGCGAAGAGAAGGCTGGCTGCCAATGCCAGGGAGAGAAGACGGATGCAAGGACTGAACACAGCCTTCGATCGTTTGAGAAAGGTGGTTCCACAGTGGGGTCAAGATAAGAAGCTCTCCAAGTATGAGACCCTTCAGATGGCTTTGAGTTATATCATGGCTCTCACTAGAATACTTGCTGAAGCAGAAAGATACAGTACTGAAAGAGAATGGATTAGCCTTCACTGTGAACACTTTCATCCGGAGAGTTACCACCATTGCACGGGACAAAAAATGGCAACAGACAGTGATCCTTACGCACAGCGAATATTCAGCTATCACCCTGAACACTTTCAAATAGCTAATTAGAACATTTTACAAACTAAGAATATGCAGCAGGCCAGATGTGTAATTTAAATAATTAGCAAGAGTTAATCTGCTTGAATAAGGTAATATTGGCATTATAAGCTCATTCTTGCTTGCATCTTATAATAATTTGACAAAATTTTCTTTGAGAACTTTAAATCAATATGCATTTAAGAAGACTGAATTTATTTAATGCTGGTGGAAAGGATACTTTTAATTTGAAATCTTTTTGACGTTTGCTTTCTAGTTCATTTTTGGTGAGTTTTCTTACTGTGATGAATCATGACAGTATTTTCTAAGATCAGGGGCCAAACTTACCCATTGTGTAACAGAATAGAATAATGGCAGAAATGAACTCAATTCCATGTTTTTATCTTAATATCAGCTTTAAAGTTATTCTTTGGTTTGCTTTCACATAAATGGCTCCCATGGAAAAAGTTTGGTAATGTAATGGAGTTCTAGTCCTCAGAGAACTAACTTTCTTAAACTTTGTAAGTTTGACGTATGGGTTCCAAAGTTGTGTAGGTTTGCTTTAATCCAGTTTATGGTGTCTCTTGTATGCTCGAAAAAGAGCTAGTTTCAACTCGTGGAAGGAATGTTTTTATTTTCAATTGCTGTAAAAGCACATGTGATTATATACCATAAATGAGAATGCTCGTGTGAAAATAATCGAAACTTCTAGGTTTTCGTAGACTTGAAATGCTTGGATTTATTTTTTTTTTTAATTTTACATTATCTGGAAACAATAGCAGATTTTGTAAATCATAAATAAAGTGTTTTCTATGATATGTCCTCACTAACTAGCTGAAATTCCTGCTCTAGGCATTACTTACTAGTGGCTTTCCCACCCCAAATGTTACACTGCTTCCATCACAGTCCTGGCAAATGCTGCTTCCTTCCCAGTTAGAGTGAGAAGTGTGTTTTATGTACTCTCTGAAAAACAGCCTTTAAAGATAAGAGTTTGGTAAAATGTTACAGAGCATTCTTGCAATGCAGTTGAGTTCATTTCAGCTGTGGTGATGCCCTGAATTGCCTTTTGTTTGTTTGCTTCTTTCACTTGTGGAGGATGGAGGGATCTGGGCAGAAAAGGCAGAAGAGGAAAGGAGGTTGGGAAAGTCAAAAAATGAGTAGGAACAAGACCACTGGAGAAGCAGATGAATTGGTAGCAGGATGTAGAGTCTGTGAAAGTTTGCCTGCCTGTCTGTTGTGATGGCAGAAGACTATGAAGCTGAAAGGTACTTCTGCTGGTGCTGCTGTGGGGAGTTTCCAGAAACAAGCCCTTACGAATGTTAGCCATTAGGGAGAAGGAGAAATGGAGCTGCTGTCCCAGAACAGCTGTTGGTGGGTTTCCAGCAGGGAAGGCTGGCAGGTTCCCTGCTGGCTGCTGCCATATCTTATATTTTAGAATTCTTTCAAATGACAAATGAATAGCTTTGATAGAAGTTATTTTCAACAATTAAGCAGCTTTCAGTGCAAAACAAAAGCATCGGTAGGAGCTAAGCCCTGTTTTGGGGGAGAAGGACTCTGCTGCAGGAACAGTTACATACAAAGACCTGACCGTATTGTCTGTCTTCTCTCAGAACTCTTATTGAAGTTTTGCCCTTGGTCACGGTCCTGCAGACTAGTACATTTCCCGAGGCAGGAGTTGGACTATTTCTGGAGCAAAAGCTGCTGGGACAGGCTTTCAGGCTAGGTTAAACACATATTGAAGAGGCACTGTATATTCTGAGCAGCTCTCTCCTTTAAACACCAGCATTCAGGAATGTTTTTTAATGTACGTTTTAGCCTCTCTAAAGGTAATGAATAGTGTTAATTATTAAAATGTGGGCTTTTGCTTCTTATGAATTACATGAGAACTTTATCGGCAAGCAGAAAGCAGATTCAACCTTCTGGGAATATGAAATCGTGTTACTCACAGATTTCTTTGCAGAAGTTTATATAGAGAGAATAGAATTAATTGTTGTCAATAATATAGCCAAGTTAATCCCGTTTCAATATTACTTATTATTAAGTGACAAGTTTATGTATGTATTAACAATCAGTACAATTCTTAATGATGTGCCATCTTACGCTAATTTATTAGCCATAAACTTTAGGCAGACAGCGTCATACCTGCAGTGCTAGCACAGTAGTGGGGTTTCCATCCTGAAACAGGAATATGATGCTAATAAATTATACAATTATATGATGGGGAAAACTTGGCTTAGTGAAAGATAGCCTTCTAAACCTCAGGTGGGAAGGGTAATACAATACAAAAGTATAAATACCAGAGTGGTATGCAAGAACGGTACTGATGTGTTTCTGCACTAATGGCGTATAATTTGATTTTGTGGGACATGACATTGCAGTTTGTATGTAATTTATGTAAAAGTACTTAACATCCATTTCTCTTCCATGCAGCATTGTAATTTACCTTCTACTGCATATGATGATAGATATAATTATAAAAATAATGGATTAGTATGCAGTGAATGATTAAATGATGGTAAGCTCACATAAAGAGGAATAAACCAACACAAAACAAAATATCTGTGGTCATTATTAAGAATTGAAACCGAAGTCCTAAAAAGCACTTTAGTGCAGCAGATAGCTTGTGAACACTTTGTAAATCAGGTCATTCTGTCATGCTGAACAATATGCTAAGATTATAATCCACATTCTCTTAGATTTGGCTGTGCTAGTGGGAGGCGAATGTTTTATTGATCTCTTTATCTATTAATAATTACTAATATTACTAGTGTAAACATTGTGATTTTATATAATGCTGTAGTATTTTTGTTTCTTGGGAGGGTGCAGTGTTGAGCTGGAAGTTGGAATTTCTCATTTACTGTAGCACAGAAGGCAACAGAGTAAGTTCTTTGTAGTGTATAGACTCCTGTCTGTCTATTGATGATCTGTCAAAGCTTTTTGAGGAGTGAATTGGGGCGAGTTTAATCATAAAAAATTCTTTCTAAGGGGAGTCTGAAACACAGGTATTACCCATGCTGGTTTGGACATCTCAAACTCAACAACTGTTCAGGAAGTCATTGGTTTCTTTTTATAGCTTTCCTTTACAGATACTTCAGTGACACTTTGTGAAATGTAAACTTGACCATTTAGCTTGGGTTTGATTATTGCTCCCAAATATTTTTTCCCCACTGGTTGTTTGATTCTTTTCATATAATGGCTGTGACCCTTCTTCTCTACTGGATGTTACTAGTATGGGCATTTGAAGCCCCCTCCCCTTAAATAATTGTTACTTCCAGTGGGCATCCAAATGAAGCAAAAGCTTCAATGCTCAGAGCTTGGTGTGTGCTTAGTGACTGAGTTTTGTCTGCTCATAAGTTTTTGGCCCACTGAACAGCAGTGCAAACCTGAAATACTTCTATTTGTAGTGTCAGTACATTGTCATTCTGGAACCACATTATTGTGAAAACGTCAGGGATGAGAAATACTTGCTTCATTAAATATTTGTTGCATGCTATACACATACATGTTTCACTAATGAAATTCAGTGTGAAATTCTAATGAACTAGTTGTGGGAAATTAACCTTTATTCTTCTAAAAGGTTCAGACTACAGGGTTTTCTATTTGAAGTGGCTATAGATACTCTGCTTTTATGATTCTTTGAATCGTGTCACCCTGTTTTGACAAGGCAACCAGAGTTATTTTTGAACTTGGAATCAGAGTGGTGTTTTTAACTGCAGTGACTTCAGTGGCTGAAAGCAGAACTAGAGTAGCACGTTCCCAAAATGCACGTTAGTAACAAAAAGTCAGTGTTTTTTTCCTGTCTAAGTATTAAGGTCATCAGTGGATAAGTATTAGCATGTCTTACAACTTTAATTCATTCCAATATTTTAGGCTTCTATTTTCCATCTTTCCATCCCAGTTATTTTGGGCACAGTCCATCTTGTACTATACTCACATACAGGGCAAAGCTCAGTTCTTGACTGGAATTCCTAAACGGTGCTGCAGTAGAAATTCTTAAAAGTAAAAATGTTGCTAACCTTAGTTATAGTCTTGTAAAGTCAATGACATTGCAACTTCTTCATGGGGGGAAGCATCGTTAGATTTTTTTAATAGTTAGCTAAGTTTCCTATACCTTGTTGAGTAGAACTTCCCTGGTGAAATCTTTGTGGAAATCCCTACTGTAACATGAGTCACTAGGTACAAATTTTAAAAAAAAATATTTCCAGTCAAATCTTTGTTTTTCCAAAATAAGCTTTTGCCTTAACATGGGTACCCTTATACTTAGGTTTCCAGCTATTTGGGCTAAGCAATATGGATGCATTTTTCTGTAATTTAGGAGTGAAATTTATCTAGATTTTAAAAATTCAATAAGGATTTACAGAACAGGTTTGTTTTTCTCTAAATATGTTCAGCTGTTCCATCTCTACAAAATATGCAGGGAAAAAACAAACACACTGAGAATAAAGACGTGTTTATTCATTGAAGAAGCAGTCCAGTGTTTCCTCTACACAGATATCTTGTAACAAACATTGATTTCACCTGGTACTTCGGTACTTCTTAATAAATGCTTTATGGTTTTAACTTTAATTACATTTCAGGACAAAGTGGCTTTAAAAAACCCAAAGCAACCCCATGTATAATAATTAAATATATTTTCTACCAAAGAGCACGTTTTAATATTATCTACTTTTTTTTTTTTCTAATTTGTAATTCAGTTTTCATTTGTAGAGAAATTAGCATGCAAAATATATCTTATACAGAATTTGTTTAAAATGTCTGCATATGTAACTCCAAGGAATAAGAAGTTCATTTCTGAACGGCTTCCTGCAGCCTGGGTTGCGTTGTTCTGGTTTTTTTCAAAATTTCAGAATGTCTTCAGTATTTTTCCGTTTCTTTACAAAACTGTGTTGCCTGCTACTAATTAATTGTATGATCCTAAAGGATCATACTGGCCAGGATGGCCAGTTTCTGAACAGAATTTCCAACTGATAGAAATGGAGAACTCCACTTAATTTAAATGGCCCCATATTTCTTTGTATTATGCAATAAATGGTTCTTTATATCT